TGTCATTGTTTAAATAGAAGTGACTATTGCCAGATCAGATAATTCTACAGACAGTTGTACATGATGCTTCCACAGTTGTATAGTATAATTATAGAAATAAAGAACAGATTGCCAATTTTTGGAATAGTTTCAATCTGAAAGTGAAAATTTTCATGTACTTTATCAACTAGTCTCAAACAAATTAATTTGGATCTATATATGTTTTTTCAAAATTAGGTAATATTGGAGGTATTTTTAGTCTTGTTTGACGTTTGGGATTCTTGGATACTTGACTTTATTGTCACAGTTACTCCTAGATGCTTATTATAAGTGTATAATTTCTTCCTCGAGAGTCCTTGTTTTCTAACTATGCTGCCTCAATGACAAATTGATTTTAAGGCACAAGATAGCATATGCCCTAAATATTTAAATGATTTTTGTTTGCAAGTTTACAATAATTAGAGTGAACACGTACATGCTTCACACTTTTCTCTCATGCTTCTTTCCTCTTTTCCTTCTCTGTTTATCTTTTTCTTTTTTAATTGTGTATATATATATATTTTTTGGTAGGAGGGAATTGGAAGCAGATTACATTGGATTAATGTTGATGGCTTCAGCTGGGTATGACCCTCAAGTTGCACCAAAATATTATGAGAGGCTTGGTGATTCTGAAGAGGATTGGTTATCAACTCACCCATCTGGAGAAAGGAGAGCTAGGTTGCTGGACGAAAACAAAGCGATGGGAGAAGCACTGGCAATATACAAGGAAGTGAGGTCTGGACAAAGGGTCAAGTGCTTTGTTTAATCCAAATTTTCAATAGCAAAAGGGTGAATGCTACATGAATGATTTCCTGCAAGAGCAGCATAGTGGTTGCTATTCAATTTGTTATTGAGCTACTGATGGTAACACTTCATTAATGTTAATTACTAGAAATAGAATGTTTGATTTCTCCAGAATTTCATCACTCTTCATTTAAATGGTGATTTTTATGTTACATCACTGTTACTTGACATAAATTATTTCATTTTTACTAGGTATATATTATTGCTAATATTATTACACTCTTTTTTTTTTTTTTTTTTATTTTTATTTTTTTTTTTTTTATTTTTTTGATGAGTATATATTATTACTCTTTTAATTATTTATAACATGCTCCTTCTCTTTTTTGTTGTAAATAAAAGGTTAAACAAATTTATCCGTTGTCATGAATAAAGGACTTGCTAGAGATAATAGAATACATTTGCCAACAGAATTCATTATAGTTGGTTCTCTTTCTAGTCTTTTGTTCTGAAAATGCACCTACTCTGTATAAAGCATGTGATGTTGAGATTTTCTTCTGGTTTTATCTACTGTGTTTGATAGGTTTACTCTGAATACTTAATAGCTCCTTGTTTCAGTACTGTTCTATAGTTATATTCACTCTCGACAACTTAGCAAGATATGAATAATTTACCACACGAGTTTGAGTTTGTGTGATGCGGGTGCGATGGGTTAGACCCATCAACGCTTGTCCTTTTGCATATTATTCATGCAAATTACTAGTTTTGCCAAGAATTCACAGAATATATTGACTAGTATCTGTCAACTTAGCCATAAATTCTGAAATAAGGATACTGTATGAAGATTAGTGACAAGGAAAGTGAAAAAAGAGAACTTAGATGTCTGCACGAGAAGGTTAAGGGCTGTTTTCTAGGTCAAAATACCATTAGAAGAAAAACAGAGTCTAATTTTGGAACCCTTCTCCCCAAAAACTACAGTTGTGATTGCTTGCTGGCATCAAAGCCCTTCATGTTAGTAGTAAGATGGTGCATAGAGCTCTTCTTTGAACTGAATATCCTGAGCTGAGGGATCGGGAACAACATAGAAAGAGAAGCCACCGAATGGCATAGTCCAAGTGGTACCTTGTCCTCCTTGCAAATACAAGGCTGAGGTCTTTAATGGGACAGTATGGGGGCGCCGTTTTTGTGTGTGACTTATGATCGGTAGACATTAAGGATTTTGATAATGTCACATATACATGTTCTCGCAGACTACACATTTATAGCAGTTAGGTACTGAAGCTTCACAATTCAAACAATGACCAGCAGACATGAAGGATCAATACTGATAGGTTCATTATATGTTATTACCAAAATTACTTATGACCGTAGAGATTCTTGCTTCAGATTAAGGATTCCCTTCACTGAAAATTGAAGAATCTCTCCCAGATTAACTCTCTCTTCCTCACCATTCTTCAGTGTAACTAGTCCTATAATATGATACTAAGAAGTGTTTACTTTCAAGATAATGAAAGATTAAGTGACAACCTTGTAGAAATCCAGGTTCTGATTCCAACTTGAATTTTAATATTCCTTTACACTGGGAAGAACTAAATGCTCTGCAATGACCTTGGCATCTACAATTGAGGCTACTACTTCAGTCCAATATGATTCAGAAGGATTTTTAAAGAACTTATCATTGTGGATTATAAATACAATATATGTGTTTGTATTTAACAATATATGCCAAATTACAAGATGATGATGAAATTGTGAAGGGCTAATGAATTGCAAACATGTGAGACACAATTTATCATTTTGGAAGTATATATGAAACGTTAAAGAACAATTGAACTGGGTATTGAGATCTTGAATCATATTTTAACTTATCAGCCCATAGAAGATATCTTGCAGACGGCATCAACAGTTGACTGCTGAAATGGTAAGCTACTTGCAAATTGAAGTCTATTTTGTTCTTTTCCTGCAAGTTCAATAAAATAATAATTGACTACTTATCCAAGTTTGAATATTTTTGTAGAAAGCACAGGCAATTTGAAAAAGCAATCCCTATATATAGCCATCACTAGTGATACTTCTTAGCATCAAGAATTACACGTACACACACACACACACACACTCACACAGATCATGAAGAACTTCAGCTCAGGAGCACCTGTGCTCATATTGCTCATTGTCCTTGTTACACATTGTCTAGAAGCTGAAGCTCAAGTCTGCAGACCAAGTGGCAAAATTAGAGGTATAAAACCTCCTCCTGGACAATGCAACCAGGAGAATGACTCTGAGTGCTGTGCGCAGGGCAAACTTTACACCACTTACAAGTGTTCACCAGGTGTGTCGAGTAACACTAAGGCGGTTCTTACCATCAACAGTTTCCAGAAGGGTGGAGATGGTGGAGGACCATCAGAGTGTGATAACAAGTACCACCCCGATAACACACCAGTCGTGGCACTGTCGACTGGATGGTACAACAAAGGGGGAAGGTGTCTCAACAACATCACCATAAGCGCTAATGGAAGGAGTGTAAACGCCATGGTTGTTGATGAGTGTGACTCCACAATGGGATGCGATGAAGACCATGATTATCAGCCTCCATGCAACAATAACATTGTTGATGCGTCAAAAGCTGTGTGGGAAGCCTTAGGTGTACCCTCCGATAACTGGGGCGAGTTGGATATCACTTGGTCTGATGCTTGAAATTAACCTATTACTTGTGTTCTAAAATCTAGTCTACTCTACCTTCTGTGCCTTTCTCCACCCCCAGAAAGTTTTTTTTTTGATAGATGTTTTCATTGTTATCAGTTCATTGTGGTATGAAATCCTAAATTATGTATCTTGTATAGACTATAGTATGTATTCTTGGTGTTTTAAATGACAATGTTGTAAAATTTCAGATATTATGAAACACGAACAAAAACTTTCGGATATAAGTTTACAATGCTTGACAGCTCAAATATATATATATATATATCTTTCAAGACCAGAACTTGGTCTTAAATGACTCTGGAAGAAACAACTTTCAATGATTCTTGGTTTCAGAGGTCCTTTAAACTGCTAATTGTGTCATTTTGCGTGAATAAGTGAATAAACAAGGGCATGGCTAGTCCCACCAGAAAGAAAGAAAATTGCAAAGTCCCAATTAGGATGCTAGGAGCTACAGAAAATATACTACTAATCTCAATATAGTCCAGGCAAGCAATAAGAACTGGAATAGTTGACTGGAATGTTACTGTATCTGTGAGGAAGGGTCTGATAACATAAATTAGTTATATAAAATGACACCCAAGGGGTTGGCTCAAGTGGAAAGTCAGTTGGCCTTGGTGTCCCATGAAGCATCAATCTAAGGTTCGCCGTGGGGGAAGGAAGAAAAAATAGGAGCTATATAAAATGTGTTCTAAAATTACATTTCTGATACATCTTCACTTAGTATTGTACTACATAATTATTTAAGTTTGTGAATATAGAAAGGTGTTTGGAACATTGTGCATAAAACTTGCATCAAAAGTGGTTATTATAATGTTGTGATTGCTTGTGAGAATTTCACCTTTCCCATTATAAAAAATGAATCTCTTGTTATGCTTAAATTAGTGAAAACTTTGCTAAGTAAATGTTCTCCTTGTTGGCCTTGAATTGATCTAAACTAATTAAAGGAAAAAAGAAAAAAGAAAAAAAAAAAAAAAAAAAGCCAAAATGAGGCTCAAAATAATGGTCATTAAGGCTGAATTTACTTGTCACAGAAAAATGTTTAATGGATATTCAAAGACACTCATTCTTTAGTAAAATGCTATACAAAATATAGTCATTACATTTTTAGCTAGTGCACCCTTCTTCATCCATCCTCATAAAAGTAATTTGCACATAATTGAGACTGCAACTTTGTCTCTCTGCGTTCCAAAAAAATATTCTACTCAACTCTTGTCATTGTGGATATTATCACCCAAAGCAAAAAACAGATCAAAATTCTACAACTCTAGATATACATAACTCTGTACTATTATATGTAAGTTAAAACTATGGCTTCGAATCATTAGTTAATTAATTCAAGAGGCAGTAGCTATTATTTTGGCCAAATGCATCAACATCTGTCTAAGAAAACATCAATTTGCTTTTCCGTAGTTTGAAATCTTTATTGTCCATTTCCTGCAAATTCTACTGGCATAACAACTCATGATATCTTATATAAAGCCTACCACTAATGATCCTGCTTGGCATCAAGCAATACAATACAAACACACACACACATCATGAAGAACTTCAGCTTAGGAGCACCTGTGCTCATGTTGCTCATTGTCCTTGTTGCACATTGTCTAGGAACTGAAGCTCAAGTGTGCAGACCAAGTGGCAAAATTAAGGGTATAAAACCTCCTCCTGGTGAATGCAACCAGGAGAATGACTCCGACTGCTGCGTGCGAGGCAAATTTTACACTACTTACACGTGCTCACCGCGTGTGTCGAGTAACACTAAGGCGGTTCTTACCCTCAACAGTTTCCAAAAGGGTGGAGATGGTGGAGGACCATCGGAATGTGATAAGAAGTACCACCCTGATGACAAACCAGTGGTGGCGCTATCAACTGGATGGTACAAGAAAGGAGGAAGGTGCCTCAACAACATCACCATAAGTGGTAATGGGCGAAGTGTAAAGGCTATGGTAGTTGACGAGTGCGACTCCACCATGGGATGTGATAAAGTCCACGATTATCAGCCTCCATGTGCTAATAACATTGTTGATGCCTCAAAAGCAGTTTGGGAAGCCTTGGGTGTTCCTCAGGATGAGTGGGGCTGGTTGGATATTACCTGGTCTGATGCTTGAGTTTGACGGATTGGTCTCCTGTTTTCTCCTTTTCTTGGTGGTTTTATGAGATTCTAGAACTACTTGTATTCTGCATATGCTTTTTTGTTTTACTGATGTATTGTACTGTGATGTTCACTTAATATTAAATATGAATGAGACGTTCCTTAAAATATATACTATGATATGATTGGCATTTGGCAAACAATATTTTACAAGACTACTAGACTCGAAAGAAAGTTTGTAGGACAAATTAAACTTGGAACTCTTCTTCTAACGTTTGTTAATATTAGCTTTCTCATTTGTTAAAATTATTAAATTTTAGGTCTATATTACAATACAACACATTCCAAAAGTATTAGATGAAAAATTCACTAAAGCAAAAATAATTATCTTTCCAATACTGTAAATATAGCCCACAACTTGGTTCTAATCATAAGGAGATTTTTTTCAACAGAAGTACGTTTTGGAGTCCCAGAAAGCCCAGCAAACGGAGCCTACGTCGTATTGTAATATTGGCTTGAAAAGTAAAAATATTTTATTTCCCTTACTAATTTTTAAGAGACAAATATGGCCTAGTTGATGATTGATGAGGGTTATTTTAGTCAGTTTACAATGTCAGATCAATGTGTTTCTTTTCACCATCACACCAACAATAATACCTCCACAACAATCGGCCTCGCCGCCACCACGGCCGCCACCATTGACAGTGAATTCCGGCGAATGAACCACCGCCAACGCCGCCACAGGTTGTGGTGCCACCACCACTATCCTTACCCTCAAAACCCCATAGCCGACGGTGACTTGGTGGTATTCCGGAGAAGGAAGTCCAAAAACGACGGTGACAACCCCATAGCCGAAGTTCTCGCGCTTGGCGGCGGCAGGTTTGGCGACGGCAAGCTCGGTTCAGATTTGGGAGAGCGTGGAAAAACAGAGAGGAAAGTTGGGCGAGGTTAAGTTCTTAAAATTACATAAATGCCTAACTTTTTTTAATGATAAACGAAGGTGATAGATTATTCTACAGACCGTTGTACATGATGCTTCCACAGTTGTATGGTATAATTATAGAATAACTAAGAACAGGCAGCCAATTTTTGGAATAGTTTCAATCTTAGGTGCAATTTTTCATGAACTTTATAAAGTAGTCCCAAACAAATTATTTTGGATATTTTATATATGTATGCACAAAATTAGGTAATATTGGATGTCACAGTGTTAGTGAGTAGATTGAAGGTATTTGTAGTCTTTTATGATGCTGGTATTCTTGGATAATTGAATTTATTGTCTGAATACTTAATGGATCCTTGTTTCAGTTCTGTTCTATAGTTATACTCACTCTCAACAACTTAGCAAGATATAAACAATTTACCTCCTTGTCCTTTTGCATATTATTCATGCAAATTAATAGTTTTGCCAATAATTTGCAGAATATATTGACTAGTAGCTCTCAACTTAGCCATAAATTCTGAGATTAGTGACAACGTAAGTGAAAAAAGAGAACTTAGATGCCTGCACGAGATGGTTAAGGGCTGTTTTCTGGGTCAAAATACCATTAGAAGAAAAACGGTGTCCAAGTTTGGAACCCTTCTCCCCAAAAATTACAATGGTGATTGCTTGCTGGCATCAAACGATTGTGCAGAGGGCTCTCTTTTTAACTGAATTGCCTGAGCTGAGGAATGGGAACAAGATAGAGAGAGAAGCCACCAAAGGGCTTAGTCCAAGTGGTACCTAGTCCTCCTTGCAAATACAAGGCTGAGGAATTTAATAGGACAATATGGGGGCGCCGTGTGTGTGTGTGACTTATGATCAGTAGACATTAAGGATTTTGATAATGTCACGTATACATGTTCTTGCAGGCTACACATTTAGCAGTTAGGTACTGAAGCTTCACAAGTCAAACAATGATCAGTAGACATGAAGGATCAATACTGATAGGTTCATTATATGTTCTTACCAAAATTACTTATGACCATAGAGATTCTTGCTTCAGTTTAAGGATTCCCTTCACTGAAAATTGAAGAATTACTCCCAGATCAACTTACCCTTCCTCATCGATCTTCAGTGTAACTATTCCTATAATATAATCCTAGTAAGTTTTACTTTGAATATAATGAAAGAGGAAGTGACAAGCTTGTAGAAATCCAGGTTCTGATTCCAACTCAAATTCTAATATTCATTTACAGTAGAAGAACTAAATGCTCTGCAATGACCTTGACATTTACAATTCAGGCTACTACTACTCCAGTCCAATACGTTTCAGAAGGATTTTCAAGAACTTGTCATTTTCGATTGTAAATACAATGTATGTGTGTGTGTTAAAAATACAATGTGTGTGTGTGTGTATATATATGTCTGTATATTTAATTATATATGCCAGATTACAAGATGATGAGGAAATTGTGAAGTGGTGGAATGACTACAAAGTAAGGGTAGGAGGCTAATAATTGCAAAAATGTGAGACAATTTGTTATTTTGGAAGTATATATGAAACTTCTAAGAACAGTTGAACTAAGTATTGAGATCTTGAATAATATTTTAACTTATCAGCCCATAGAACATATCTTGCTACTTGCAAATTGAAGTCTATTTTGTCCATTTCCTGCAAGTTCCAATAAAATAATTTCAAGTTTCATCCCAAACAACCAAACTGTCCATCCAAAAGACCTATATTCTTATTAAAATCGACCACTTATCCAAGGTTGAACCATAATTTTGTAGAAAGCACAGGCAATTTGAAAAAGCAACCCCTATATATAGCCATCACTAGTGATACCTCTTAGCATCAAGAATTACACACGCACACACACACACACACACAATCACAGAGAGACAGATCATGAAGAACTTCAGCTTAGGAGCACCTGTGCACGTATTGCTCATTGTCCTTGTTACACATTGTCTAGAAGCTGAAGCTCAAGTCTGCAGACCAAGTGGCAAAATTAGAGGTATAAAACCTCCTCCTGGACAATGCAACCAGGAGAATGACTCGGAGTGCTGTGTGCAGGGCAAACTTTACACCACTTACAAGTGTTCACCAGGTGTGTCAAGTAACACTAAGGCGGTTCTTACTATTAACAGTTTCCAGCAGGGTGGAGATGGTGGAGGACCATCAGAGTGTGATAATAAGTACCACCCAGATAACACGCCAGTCGTGGCACTGTCAACCGGATGGTACAACAAAGGGGGAAGGTGTCTCAACAACATCACCATAAGTGCTAATGGACGGAGTGTAAACGCTATGGTTGTTGATGAGTGTGACTCCACAATGGGATGCGATGAAGACCATGATTATCAGCCTCCATGCAACAATAATATTGTTGATGCCTCAAAAGCTGTGTGGGAAGCCTTAGGTGTGCCCTCCGATAACTGGGGCGAGTTGGATATCACTTGGTCTGATGCTTGAAATTAACCTATTACTTGTCTACCTTCTGTGTCTTTCTCCATCTCCAAAAAGTTTTTTTTTTTTTTTTTTTTTTGATAGATGTTTATGTTGTTATTAGTTCATTGTGGTATGAAATCCTAAATTATGTATCTTGTATTTGTATGCATTCTTGGTGTTTAAAAAGACAATGTTGTAAAATTTCAGATATTATGAAACACGAACAGAAACTTTTGCGTCTAAGTTTACAATACGTCTCAAATATATAACTTTCAAGACCAGACCTTGGTCTTAAATAACTCTGTAAGATGTTTACAACAGTACTTCATATGGATCAAACCATTCAAATTTTGGTGTCAAAGAGACAACTTTCAGTCATTCTTGGTTTCAGAGGTCGTTGAGACTGCTAAGTGTGTCATTTTGAATCAATAAGTGAATAAATAAGGGCTTGGCGACCGCAAGTTCGGTCGGTGGCCTGGTTCTGGTTCAGATTTAGGAGAGCGTGGAAAAACAGAGAGGAAAGTTGGGTGAGGTCATGTTCATAAAATTACATAAATGCCCAATCAATCAAACCAAGAAACACAATAGGAATAGGAGAAGAAATTATACGGTTTTTTTTTTATTTTTTATTTTTTTATTTTCCTGGATTTTGGGTGTTCTAGAAGCAGGGTGTCTTTTTTAACAAGCATATTTTTACTTGTGTGTGCGTGCGAGCCCATACACACGATTTCAATCTTCTATACTATACTATCTTATACTCTGTTTATTGAACAACATTGTTCTTCTTTTTTCATTGTTAGAAGAATTATTGTATAGGTTTCCATTATCAAAGTTATGGGTTTCTCTTGCCTGAAATCAAGACTTGTTCAGTTAAATTCTTACTCAACTCTATGTTGGAACAAGTTTGTGTCTCACTCTCATCAGTATCTGGTTGAGAATGCTATCAGTCCCATGAATGCAAGTTCTTATATTTATGGACTCAAACATATTAATCAGTATCTTTTGGTTGTGCTGCTTGTGCAAGAAGATTTTGCCATACAAATCGCTACCCTTTTCAAGTTTGCATAGGTAGAACATCATAGTGGCAATGGCTTCGACCCCACAATTTTATACGCATCTCTATCATACTTACTATACTGTTTGCCAGTTTGGAGAGAGGTCCATTCTTGAATCGAATCCATATGGCCATATCCCCCTGACAAATTGGATGGATTTATAGGATGGCACTGGAAGATTAAGGAGAAGGAATACCAAGGGAGAATACTTCCTCCAACACACCCACAATGTGTTCGTGTGCAGTCCATATTGAGAGACATAGTTCAAGGAATGCTCACTGGTTTACTTATTAAAATGACTGCAATGTTTCAAGGTATGGATCTGAAGACACTTTACTTATATCGAGGATAGACCAGGATTGCCAAAAGAGGCCAGATCAGAAATGTATGATAAAATCAGGGACTAGGCATTTGGAAGGATTGAATTGGGAAGTGCTGGTGGTGGAATCTTCTGAGATAAATGATCTTTACCTCTATAACGGGAAGATTGTTATTTATACAGGGATGCTTGACTTTTGCAATTCAGATGCAGAGATAGCAACTTTTCTAGGACATGAGGTATGTATGTATGTATGTATGGGTGTGATTTATTCGAATTCTAGTTGATGAAATCATTCCACATCGTACATCTTTCTCATGTTCATGTTTTTTTATCAGGTCGGGCATGGTGTGGCATGGCATGAATCAGAATATTTCGTGACTTGTGTCCTATTATGGCCTTTTTATTATGTGCAGATACTCCCAATGATAGCAGAACTAGTATATAAGTACACATTGCGGAGGTATACCAGATCCCCTAATTGAGATATATATATTTTTTGATAAGTTCTAATTGAGATATGTTAATATGCTTAACATTATTGTTATGTATAGTTTTCATATGAATTATTATGTACTTGGTCCAATTAACACAACTATTGTTAAGCAACTGAAATACCTTCTGGAAACAGGCTCAGTTAAATGCAAATGGATGCTTTTCATGTTAATTTATTGTATTATTTCCCCTTTTATGATAAAATGAATAGAACAAAAGTGAATTCCACCCTGATCATGTAATATTCCTTATGTTTCCATACATGGCATATATTTATAATCTCCATATATTTCTAGTCCTTGCTTATTTTTTTTTTTTTGTCAGTAAATAATACTTTAAGCTTTTTCACTGTGTTTAATCATACACGTTAAACATATGTTCCTTTGCAGACAGCTCGTGAACAAATTTTGCTGCATATAACTTACTAATTCAATAATTTCACATACAGATTATAAATGTCTGAAGATTTCCCAATTTATTTACTAAATTATAATTTGTTATATTCCCTAAACATTTAAAAAATACAAAAGCTCAACACCTCTACCTCCTGATCTTGCATTCCGTTTATACTTTATAACCTGTAAGATGCAAGAATGAAAGACAGAATGGAGAAAGCAATAGATGTAAGAAAAATATATGTGATAGAAACAACTTTAACATATAAGAAGGATTTTGTTATTGTCAAAGAAGAAATGGCTATTGACACATCAAATAATTGTACGGACAGTTGTACATGATGCATCGAGTTGCATAATATGGCTATAGAATTACTAAGAACAGGTTGCTAGTTTTAGGAATAGTTTCAATCTTCCATGTACTTTATAAACTAGTGTCGTACAAATTAATTTGGATCTATACTTGTATGCTTAAAATTAGTTACTATTGGGTGTCAAAGTGTTAGTGAGTAGATTGGAGGTATTTGTAGTCTTGTATGATGTTTTGGCATTATTGGATACTTGAATTAATTGTAAAAAACTACTTCTAACTGCTTATTGCAAGTATATAATTTCTTGAGAGTCCTTGTTATCCTAACTATGATTCCTCAATGACAGATTGATTTACGGCACAAGTTAACACATACCCTAAATATTGACTAGTAGCTCTCAACTTAGCCATAAATTCCGAAATAAGGATACTGTATGAGATTTGTGACAAGGTAAGTGAAAAAAGAGAACTTAGATGTCTGCACGAGATGGTCAAGGGCTGTTTTCTAGGTCAAAATACCATTAGAAGAAAAACTATGTCTAAGTTTGGAACCCTTATCCCCAAAAACTACAATGGTGATTGCTTGCTGGCATCAAATTCCTTCATAGTAGTAGTAAGATGGTGCAGAGGGCTCTCTTTTTAACTGAATTGCCTGAGCTGAGGGAATGGGAACAAGATAGAGAGGAGGCCACCAAAGGGTTTAGTCCAAGTGGTACCTAGTCCTCCTTGCAAATACAAGGTTGACGTCTTTAATGGGTGACTTATGATCAGTAGTCATTAAGGATTTTGATAATGTCACATATACATGTTCTCGCAGACTACACATTTAGCAGTTAAGTACTGAAGCTTCACAATTCAAACAATGATCAGTAGACATGAAGGATCAATACTGATAGGTTCATTATATGTTATTACCAAAATTACTTCTGACCATAGAGATTGTTGCTTCAGTTTAAGGATTTCCTTCACTGAAAATTGAAGAATTACTCCCAGATCAACTTACTCTTCCTTATCGTTCTTCAGTGTAACTATTCCTATAATATAATTCTATTAAGTGTTTCCTTCGAATATAATGAAAGATGAAGTGACAAGCTTGTAGAAATCCAGGTTCTGATTCCAACTCGAACTCTAATAATCCTTTACACTGGAAGAACTAAATGCTCTGCAATGACCTTGACATTTACAATTGAGTTTACTACTACTACAGTCCAATATGTAAAAGAAGGATTTTCGAGTACTTGTCATTTTGGATTATAAATACAATGTATATATGTGTGTGTTAAAAATACAATTTGTACATGTGTGTGTGTGTGTGTGTGTGTTTGTGTTTAATTATATATGCCAAATTACAAGAAGATGAGGAAATTGTGAAGTGGAGGAATGACTACAAAGTAGGTGAGGAGGCTAATGAATTGGCAAAATGTCAGAGACAAGTTATCATTTTTGAAGTATGTATGAAACTTCTAAGACAGTTGAACAAAGTATTGAGATCTTGAATAATATTTTAACTTATCAGCCCATAGAACATATCTTGCTACTTGCAAATTGAAGTCTATTTTGTCCATTTCCTGCGAGTTCCAATAAAATAATTCCAAGTTTCATCCTAAACAACTGAACTGCCCATCCAAAACAACCAAACTGCCCATCCAAAAGACCAATATTCTAATTAAAATTGACCACGTATCCAAGGTTGAACCATAATTTTGTAGAAAGCACAGGCAATTTGAAAAAGCAACCCCTATATATAGCCATCACTAGTGATACCACTTAGCATCAAGAATTACACACACACAATCACAGAGAGACAGATCATGAAGAACTTCAGCTTAGGAGCACCTGTGCTCGTATTGCTCATTGTCCTTGTTACACATTGTCTAGAAGCTGAAGCTCAAGTCTGCAGACCAAGTGGCAAAATTAGAGGTATAAAACCTCCTCCTGGACAATGCAACCAGGAGAATGACTCGGAGTGCTGTGTGCAGGGCAAACTTTACACCACTTACAAGTGTTCACCAGGTGTGTCAAGTAACACTAAGGCGGTTCTTACTATTAACAGTTTCCAGCAGGGTGGAGATGGTGGAGGACCATCAGAGTGTGATAATAAGTACCACCCAGATAACACGCCAGTCGTGGCACTGTCAACCGGATGGTACAACAAAGGGGGAAGGTGTCTCAACAACATCACCATAAGTGCTAATGGACGGAGTGTAAACGCTATGGTTGTTGATGAGTGTGACTCCACAATGGGATGCGATGAAGACCATGATTATCAGCCTCCATGCAACAATAATATTGTTGATGCCTCAAAAGCTGTGTGGGAAGCCTTAGGTGTGCCCTCCGATAACTGGGGCGAGTTGGATATCACTTGGTCTGATGCTTGAAATTAACCTAACCTATTACTTGTGTTCTAAAATCTTGTCTACTTTTTATGTCTTCCCCCACCCACTTTTTTTTCTTCTTTCTGATAGATGTTTTCATTGTATCAGTTCATTGTGGTATGAAATCCTAAATTATGTATCTTGTATTGTATGTATTCTTGGTGTTTTAAATAAAAATGTTGTAAAATTTCAGATATTATGAAACACGAGCAAAACTTTCGGATATAGGTGTACAATGCTTGACAGGTCAAATATATGACTTTCAAGACCAGAACTTGGTCTTAAATGACTCTGTAAGATGTTTACAACAGTACTTCATATGGATCAAACCATTCAAATTTTGGTGAAAAGAAACAACTTTCAATCATTCTTGGTTTCAGTGGCCTTTTAGACTGTAAGTGACTAAGTGTGTCATTTTGAATCAGTAAGCGAATAATGGCTAGTCTCACCAGAAAGAAAGAAAACTGCGTAGTCCCTCAAGTAGCTATCATCATTGTGTTCATCGATAAGAGGGCTAAAATTTGAAAAACCCTTGTTGTTCATCGAAATTATCTACTAACTCCCTCGAATATTAAAAAATCTCTTAATATAACATAAACTATCACATTACTCTCATTCCGTCAAAGAACCGTTAAGTTCCTGCAAAATGACAAGAATGCCCTTGATAGTATATTAATATTTATTTAAATATAATTATAGTAATTATATATATTTATATATAATTATAGTATTTTTAATAATTATATTTATATAATTATAATTACTATAATTATAGTAATTACTAGTATATAGGAATTATATATACACATATATTCACACACATATAGCAACATATCCTCCATTATCTGCAAACGAAAAAGCCAATTAACAATAAATAGCAACATCAACGGCATGACATAGGATAATTGCCCTAGGGTTTCTTGGACGGAATAGGGCAATTGAACTGGATTTCTCGACGATGGTGTCGATGAGCAAAGGGTTCCTGAGAATGTGTTGTCCCTTCGATTTGTGGAAGGGTATGCCTCCCTGGTAGTGTGGGTTCAACGGTGCCAACACTCCACGGCGAGACTTCTCCTTCTTGATCTTACCACCCGCCATTGATGAACCAGACACTAAAGAAGAGCTGAGGATTTGGGGAAGCAAGAGAAGCTAGTAACTTTTTTTTGGGTTGAAGCTGCTAGGGTTTATTGTGGCAAACGCCCCATCTAACTTTTGAGTTCTGACTTTAACCTAAAAAAGAACAAATAAAAATAATAATAATAATAATTCACCCCTCTTATTCCATTTATTCGAGATTTTTTTTTCCAACAGATAAAGCAATATGTTGGGTCTTTGTTTCATCTGGAAAAGGAGTGGATCGGACTTGTTTGGACTCACGTTGGCCACTGCTGAAACACGCCGGAAAACATGGAGTGACGTTGTTGAAGAGAGGAGAGATTCTTTAGACTTAGGTAGGGGCAGTTTAGTCATTAAGTGGTTAAAGGGTAGTATGGTTATATTCAAATGAAATATTGTGGCACGTGACAATCATGTGATCTGATCTGTTAGTTTGTGACGGAAAATTAACGGGAGGGGTCATTATGATAGACTTTTTAAAACATTGAGGGGTTTTATGATAATTTCTGAGAGGTTAGTAGATAGTTTTTGTAAACAAGAGGGGGGTTTTCAGATTTTAGCCCTCAATATAATGATTAAATTATTTGCATTTCATTTCTTCTTGTGAATCTGCATAATGTGGTTAACTGGAATCAGAATTTCAAATTGTAAATATTCATCATCTAAAAATACAAACAGTTAAAGAACTGGAATAGTTGACTGGAATGTTATTGTAGTCTATGAGGAAGGCTCTGATAACATAAAGAAGTTTTTATAAAATGTGTTCTGAAATAGCATTTCTGATACATCTTCTACTTGTTCGTATTGTACTACATAATAAAATGTTCTCTTTGTTGGCCTTGAATTAATCTAAACAAATTTGAAGGAACAAAAATGGCCAAAATAATGGTCATTAAGGCTGAATTTGCCTGTCACAGAAAAATGTTTAATGGAAATTCAAAGACACTCATTTTTTAGTAAAAAATATTATACAAGAATTAATCTTTCATGGATGGAATGCTCATAATCCTATCATTGTTGAAATTCGATTTGTAGGTTATGATCAATAATCAAGTCATATAGTCCTTACATCTTCTCATCTATTTCACTCTTGGACATAAAGAGTTCTAGTTTTAGCAATTACAAATGAGCAGCAGAAATAGAAACGGCCTCTTCACGCGGAGGTAAGATTGCATACATCCGACCCTCCGTAAATCACACAATGGTGAGAGTCTCGTCACTGTGCTTTATTTCCCGTTTTACATAAACTGAACAACTAATTTTCAGCTAGTGCACCCTTCTTCATCCATCCTCATATAAGTAATTTACACATAATTGAGACTACAACTTTGTCTGTATGTGTTCCAAAAAATATTCAACTCAACTCTTGTCACTGTGGATATTATCACCCCAAAGCAAAAAACAGATCAAAATTCTACAACTCTAGATATACATTACTCCACTATATTATAACTGATAAGTTAAAACTATGGTTTTGAATCATTAGTCCATTCAAGAGGCAATTGCTATTATTTTGGCCAAATTCATCAACATTTGTCTAAGAAAACAGCAAGCTGATCTTCCCACACTTTGAAATCTTTATTGTCCTTTTCCTGCAAATTCCACTGGCATAACAACCCGGGAGATCTTATATAAAGCCTACCACTTATGATCCTGCTTGGCATCAAGCAATACAATGCAAACACACACACACACACACACAGATCATGAAGAACTTCAGCTTAGGAGCATCTGTGCTCATACTGCTCATTGTCCTTGTTACACATTGTCTAGGAGCTGAAGCTCAAGTCTGCAGACCAAGTGGCAAAATTAAAGGTATAAAACCTCCTCCTGGTGAATGCAACCAGGAGAATGACTCTGACTGCTGTGTGCAAGGCAAACTTTACACTACTTATACGTGCTCACCACGTGTGTCAAGTAACACTAAGGCAGTTCTTACTCTCAACAGTTTCCAGAAGGGTGGAGATGGTGGAGGACCATCGGAATGTGACAAGAAGTACCACTCTGATGACAAACCAGTCGTGGCGCTATCGACCGGATGGTACAAGAAAGGGGGAAGGTGCCTCAACAACATCACCATAAGTGGTAATTGGCGAAGTGTAAAGGCTATGGTAGTTGACGAGTGTGACTCCACCATGGGATGTGATAAAGTCCACGATTATCAGCCTCCATGTGCTAATAATATTGTTGATGCCTCAAAAGCAGTTTGGAAAGCCTTGGGTGTTCCTCTGGAGGAGTGGGGCTGGTTGGATATTACCTGGTCTGATGCTTAAGTTTTATAGATTGATTGTATTATAAAATGTTGTCTCCTGTTTTCCTCCATTTCCTAGCATCTCTGTTGTTGTGTTTCCATTTCTTGGTGGTATTATGAGATCTAGAACTACTTGTGCTGTGCATATGCTTTTTGTTTAATAATGTATTGTATTGTGAAGTTCAAATAGGCAATATATTGTAATCCGCAAATTTCGAATTCAAAATTTGATTACCAAGGTGTAACTTTTGATTTATCTTGCATCTTGATTGTCAAAACTGAATTGCATGTGCCTCGTACCGTTTGATTGGATAGATTGGATGGAACATCAATTAGTACATGACATTTTATATTTAGGGTGACACATATCTGGACAAGTCTAACCGGTCGCACTTCTTTTCAGACCGATACTTAGGTAGTAAGCAGTGAGAGTTGACATATTCATTCCATATATTTTCCACAGGCATTATCCAGTTACCTAATTGGTAAAGCGTTTTCGAGTCCTTCTTTCCCTTAATTTGCCAAATATATATATATATATATATATATATATATCTCCCCATCATGAACAAGATGTTAAAATAAAAAATTAAAAAAAAAAAAACATGGCCTCGATCATTAGAGTCAGTTTGGCAACGACTTTTGCTTTAAACAAAAGCAGAAATGTTTTTACTTCAGAGTATGTTTAACATTATTCTGAAGCTTATTTGGTAACTTAAATTTGTTATAAGATTTTTGGAAACAAAAACATGAAAGCATATTTGGTAAAAAAGTGTTGCCAGTTAAAATGTCATTTTAAAGTTTTTGTTTATTTATTTATTTTTTGTTTATTTTTTTTTCCCTGAGAGCAATGCTTTTTGCAATAGTGAGAGAGCAAGCAACCAAAAGCATTTTATACTGCGGGGTTTGATCTCTTTTTCGGAAGCACTTTAATACTATTCAAATAGCAAACATTACCAAATACGTTCAGTGTTTCTTTGTTTCCTACAAGACCTGAGCAAAAAATGCAAAATGCCAAACTAGCCCTTATAATCCTCTAATAATAAAGGTGTCTCTTGTTTAATGTCAGACCAATGTGCCTCTTGTTTTTTTCCGAATGTAAATGTGTATCTTTTCACCAATACCACAACCGCGGCGCCGGCGCCACCACCATACTTACCCCAAAACAACTACCACCATCCCCACCCATATAACCACCACCAACAGTGTATTTCGGCGAATGAATCACCAACAATACTGCCACAACCTGTGGCGCCACCACCACCGTCCTCACCCCCAAAACCACCAGCATCATTCCCACCCCCAAAACCACCGCCATCAAAAACCCCATAGCTGAAGTAACTAAGTTATATTCCGGCGATAATTCCATAGACGACGGGGACAACCCCATAGCGAAGTTCTGGCGCTCGGAGGCGGCAGAGAGTACGGTCTCGGCTTGGCGACGGCAAGTTCGGGCGGCGACCTGGTTCAGGTTCAGATTAAAGCGTGGAAAAACATCGAAGAGAAAGTGGGGATGTTAAGTTCTTCAAATTACATAAATGCCCTTTTTTTTTAAGGTGAGAAATTATTAGGTGCTCCTGACTAGTACCTTATATATTTTATATGAGAAGTGATATGTCTTCCGACTTCAATTACTGATTCATTCTCCGAGTACAATATGGTTAGGAATGAGCCAAAAAGAAAGAAATCTTTACGGGATTTTGTTTTAAGAGTTCTAATATCATCCAATCACATTATATTCGGAGGATGAATAGTCAATTGTAATCGAAAGGCTTATCATTTCTCATTTTATATATATATATATATGCTCTCGGCCAATCATAGAAAACCATGCAAGTAAATATTGTA